TGAGTCGAGCGCCTTATCCACCTGGCCATGCCGGGCCCAAATTATTTAGTAAAAAATAAGGCCAAGTCCAGTCCACCTAACGATAACAAATTAGTTTATTCCTTCATTAGCATTTCTACAAGCTGCCTTCACTTGTACATTTCTGTAGCTTATAGGCCTACATAACTTTACAAAAGGAAATACCTCGCTAATGGTAATACAACAAATGTAAAAAATACTTATTTGTACAAATTTACGGCTAATAGATCAAGTAACTAAATATACACGATAACTAACACTGACTCAAATACTTCACTAAAATTAAATATTTCACTGAACTAAACTTATTGACTCATTACACGCCGATTCTCGTATTTATAATAAAGCTTTGTTTCTAGACACTTCCCATAGTCCCTCGATCACTATATTCCCGAACATGCTAGGTATTCTAGGAGTAAGTTAAAGCCATGCACTCTCTTCCTAACATCTCAATTAAAACACTGAAAACATAGTTTATAACACTGCTCCCTTCCTGGATTGTGAAGTCATTTGAACAATCCTAAAAAAAATAAAAACACTACACTAAACAACCCATTTAACTAATATTTTTAGTGGTTCTCTCTTCCGAGACCCAGATGGGATGGCCTCCTGTCCCTTGTTATCATTGGGTAGATCATCATAGACAGGCAATATAGTAACTATTCTCCGAGTTATTCAGTTGGCCGTTCTCTCACCAACGTACTTCCATAGACGATCACGGCGAATAACCTTTGGTTTGGATCACCTTTCTTTTTAGATACTATAAACAAATCATTGATTCTTTTCAGTACAACATATGGCTCCTTCCAGTACCTGCTTAACCTTGGAGTTCGCCCTGTCTTTTGGTGAGGATTGTACATCCATACCCTGTTACCTTGAAAGTATAGTCTTATCAGTATTAGCATCATAACAACTTCTCGTTTTATCATAATCTGATTTAAATCTACCGTAAATAAAGTCAACTTCGACATCGTTATTCCTCGCATCCACGAGAGCTTTTCCAATCACCAATTTCTCAGGACAAGCTACAGTGTTTGGTTCCACGATACTCAGTTACTAGATGAATATTTATTACTAACAACTCCCTGCACAATCTTTTGCTTGTTGGTGGTACGATAACCACCCTACCTGTTGCCACTGGTAGTTTAACCTCTGGGGTAGTACTTGCCATGCAGTACACAGGGATTTCCTTGTCACAGATTGTGAAGCTATTTTAAGCTAGCCTAACCTCGCAATCCAGGTTCCCGCACGAAATCAGTTCCCAATACCCACTCTTCCTCAAAGTCAGTTATCCATGCATCATGGTGTGCAGAGAAATGTCCTACAATAAGGGTGACTTCCAGCTTCCTTTTTACTGGTACTTTATGCCCATCTGCTGTTTGCACAAACTTCTTTCTTCATCTCTAGAAGCAATTTCCTATCTTCTATTAATAAATGTACCTCTGGAACCAACATCAATCAATATACTGAAGGTTTCCCATCAATAAACTCGTGGATTCGTAGATAATTTTTCTAAAAAATAAATTTATTTACTCATTTAAGGTTGACAGAGTATTAACAGGTACGCCATTAATCAATTTAGATACTGCCTTTGTGATGTCTCATTACCTCTTCATTGTTCTTTCAATCTAGTTGGGCTTGACGACTCATCCTTAGAGTACTTCACATGGCTTTATAACAACAATTAATTTCTTATAGTCTTGGATGTAATGCTCATACTTTCCACAATTATAACAGTTCCTTCTTTTTTGTATCTTCTGGGAGGAATTCTTATTCCATACACGCTTTAACCACCACCTATACTTCCTTGCAATATGTCCTTTCAAGTTATACTTGAAACACTTGTGGTTTAATCTTCCTATTCTGTGTAATTAGATGAAAAATTCTTTCATTTCTTATAGATTGTCATCAAGGGTAGTTTACATTTCAATATTATTCAATCTTACAATCCAGTAACTTCTAGATGATGCCTTTAGTAGTTTATCTGCAAACTTCGTAGATTAGAATTCCATTGCCAATTCCTTTAAAGACTTACATCTACTTTGCTTCATCCTAAATAATTCTCATATCTTCAACTGTTATAGCATCTATAAATTAATCATGTGCTATTGAATTTATCGTTTTACGAGGAGTATCCACGTAAAATAACTGGGCAAGCATTTCTAAGCTAATGCTTTTTCTTTGATCTGTACTCTTTTTTCCAGAACTTTGCTCTGGATAGTTCCTTCTATGATATGGCAGTTACTAATACTTGACAGTTGTTATGACTATCACCTGGAATGTTATTTGACGTATTCAAAGCGGGTCCTTTTAAATGGGTAGCAAGATGAATGGCTTACTGATCACTAGAAATTATTTAGAACTGAGCTTGGTATGATTCCCATTGTACCTTTCCATAATAGTCCACTAGTTTCTCAAGTGATCAATGTTGAACTAGCCAGCTAAATTCTAGAACTTGATTTAGTAGTATCATGGCTGGAGTAGTTCACGAAGGTCCTACAGATGGCACAACAGTAGTGGTAATAGGTGTAGACGAAATCAGTTCTCCTATTCCATATAGTGTTTTAGGTTGGAACTCTTGACCCAATACAGAAAGAGATGTGTTTGGTTTAACTTTTGCATTTAATAATTCATCTCTTAGATATTTTATTCTGTCACTGATGTGTTTTTTTTCTAACTTAATGATGTCTTTCTTTAATTTTTTTTCATTTCTTTTTGTACTTTTTTAAATTTTGTCATTACAGCATCTTTGTATTTCTTCAACCTATTTGTGGTACATCTCAAATAGCTTCATGAATCTTGTCTTCAATCAGATTTATTTTCTATTTTAATTTTTCTTTATATAGTACTTCTCTTTCTTTTAATTTTTCTTATAAATTCTCGTTTCTTGCCTCTTGATCTTCTATTATTTTTCTAAAAATGTATTCTTGGTATTTTTTTAGCTCTGTCTCATTTCTGATTTTTCTGTTTCTCATTTCTTGACCTTCTTTAAACTATTTCACTAGCTTCATTAAATCGTCGATGTCATCTCTTGAGATCCTTTCGAAAGTTGAAGTTTACTTGATATTCCATTTTATTCTCACCAAAATAATCCCACTCCTGACAAAAATGTTCCAACGATGCCCTTTTGTTCGGGCTGGTTCTTTAGATCATTCGATGAAAATACGGCCAAGCCCAGTCTACATAACTATAACAAATCAATTTTTTTTCTTCCTTAACGTTTCTAGGCCTACATAACTTTACAAATGACGTTCAAACGGAAACACCTCGCTAATTGAACTACAATTAACGTAAAAAATACTTGTACAATTTCACGGACAATCGATAAAGTAACTGAATATATGCTATTATTAAAAGTGAACTAAACTGATTCACTGCCCGCTGATTCTCATATTTATAACGAAAAGCCATATTCCCAAGTGTTCTAGGAGTAATTTAACGTCATGCGCCCTTTAGCTAACACCTAAATCAAAACATTGAAAATTATTTGTTAGTTATGGATTTCGCGCAAAGCTACACGAGGGCTATCTGCGCTAGTCGTCCCTAATTTAGGAGTGTAAGACTAGAGGGCTACTCTTTTACCAACGAATAGTGGGATTGACTGTCACATTATAACGCCCCCATGGCTAAAAGGGCGAGCATGTTTGGTGTGACGGAGATTCGAACCCGCGGCCCTAACCACCTGGCCATGCCGGGTCAATATTGAAAATATAGCTTACAATAATTAAAATATACGTTTACAGAAAAATGAACAGTTGCACCTATCCATTCACACAGACACGAATATATACATAAATATACTTTGAGAATGGGGTGTAGAACGCGCTCAACATAATCAGAAACAAAAGCTGATAAAATATATATACACTGCAATATTATAACACACTTTAATTCCCAACCAGAAAGAAACAAGATAAAACATACATGTGCACGTCATACATCGTTGATAACCAAAACGATTACCTGTCAATCAGACAGGAATTCTTTCTCTTACACACACTTGATTCCATGTGGACTAAAATGCTGCACGTAAAACTTAAAAATTATCTGAAATTCATGTAATAATTAGGAACATTAAAAAGGTTACTTGAATTTGTAATCGTTGTACAGACAAACCGTTTAGTTCTATTACGTTCAGTAAAACGTTGTGTACGTTTTAGTGTTTGTTTTTTAACAGAACTAAAGTTTGTAGCCCAGTTGTTCTAACTCTAAAGCTATAGTATTTTATCATCCTTTCGTGAAATGTTTCATTTACTAAAGGAAATGTTTAATTAAACTTATTTATGGTAGTATAACATTTTAAACATTGTAGGGACAGCAACGATATATTTTATTTCCAATTTAAAACAACCAATCAAAATACGATCTTACTAAACAGGAGAAAATGTTGGGATGGTCATTTACCACGATAAGAGGCAATTTCTATATTCTTTCCGGTGGATCGAAACTAAGCTTGAGGGCTTTAACGTTAAAATTCAGGGCTTGTCCCCTGCAGTGGCTACAGTACAGAAAGCCCACTGTACAGCTTTGCCCTTACCAAACAAACACGTTTCTACATTTTAAAAAGAATTAAGAAAACTGATATGTTACAACAATAAGATAAAAGCCAAACATTACCTTAATATAATAGTTTTGTCGTTCTCCTCTGTAGTCCTCGGCTTGGACTTCTAACCTACATGAACTTTTATAATAAACCCGTCGCAGAAGGGCGCATGGGTGAGGAGGTGGGCTGACACAAAATCGGGAGGGTTGTCGTTGGTTCAGAACAGACATACTAAAGGAAGAAATCGTTTAGCGACTCTAGCCACACTGAACAATGCGCATTTTTAATGTATTCACTGATGCAACATTATAATCCAAATTTCGGCTTAATAAGTTGGATTTGTCCCTTTTTTTTTTCCAACTACTCTACACAATCAATACCAGTGAACCGACGTTCAAATTTCTACACATGCCTTTCAACGACATACCATGAACTCCAGCCTCGGCAAGATCGATCAGTACCGCAGAGCCAACCTGTGGCGCTAAGTCACAAGCACTGCCTCAAAACAACTGCACGTTTCTCTTGCCGTCACATGGCGTCTGACGTCACTAATGATGCGCCAACACGGCGGAAACATCAATCGTGTGTGTCTTCACTGTGAACTTGGCACTTCCGTCTATATTCTAACACAACTACACAGACAGTAACACAGTAGCAACGCCAAAAATAAAACTGAATTATTTAATGCACTAGGAGAACGGCAACATTTTGTACACATACACACACACAAACTGAATCTTAATACATTTTCTGGATATACAACAACAGCATGCACAACGAACCGAATCTAAAGATATTTTCTGGATGTTGACCAACTTGGATGAACAACAACAGAACTAAATTAGTCATACACGTTCTGGTGTACCAGCCAAAGTACTTTCTAACTGCGTAAAATGTGACAATGCTAACATGAACATCAAAATACATAATACACTTTAAACAAATCATATTGCTTCATCTTCATGGACTATCACAGAGACAACCTACTGAAAACAGACTTGGTGCACTCGTGAAAAAAAAAAGGACTTCAGTCTTAGATGCTTCGCTTAAAATAAATCATGTAAAAAAAAGTACGAACCGTTATCTGATAAAAATAACACGATATTGGGTATAAAGTAAATGATGATTAACACAACTGTTTTCTTATTCCCAAAATACACCACCAGATTCTGTTGTTCATCTCCTTCCATATTCAGGTCAACCAATACATATATTAAGTAATTATCGACTTTAACTGTTAAAAAAAAAAGAAACGCTTTCTGAGTGTTTGGTGTTTATTTTTGTATTTTTTCCCCCTTCACTAAAATTACTCATTTTAATGAGCAGTTGGAAATTTCACAGTTTAAAACCATTTATCTTTGACAAACTCACGAATCTTGAAGGTATTTTTTATGACAACCGTTCTGTTGTTTTATGATAAACATTTCTATAATGGATTAGGTCACGTCTGCCCCCCCCCCCAAAAAAAAAGTATAAAACCTGCAATCTCACAACTTAGCTCGAAAACACGAAACCTCGTGAGTTGTTTCGCCCTCTACCGACAACTTATCGTGCTAGTCACAGTTTAAGAATAAAACACCTGTCTCGAAGGGAAAAAGTGATGTTGCTAAGCAACAATCTAGATTGCAGCTGCTCTGTTATCGTAATATTTCTCCGTGGGAAACAAAATATGTTGTATGACTTCACAGGTAATTGGCAAGCTATCTATAATGGATGAATAATCCATTTATTAAAAACTATTTGTAAAATCCTATGGTAACAGCACAGCTTTCAACAAACAATAGCCTAACAAAATTTCTAGCTACAATGACGTCATCTTAAAAAGACTGTGTAAGACACGAGTTTGTATATTGAAAGAAGTATGATCACCCAACAACAGTGAAAATTTCGCAACTTCAATAGCTCATATTCTAGGAATTCTCGGTCAGTTTTTAAAGCTCTCAACACAACAAAACCCTAAATTCCCGAAATGTATTGTTACGTCTCCGTTCGTAAGTTAATTTTCCGTAAATTCGTTCCGACGAAACTTTAGCGACACAAGCCCTTTCTTAAATAAAACTGGTTTATTCTTTCCGAATACAACTTTACGATACACTTAATTTCAACAGTCGCTCCATAACAAACGCTATAACGTCTCACGTGCTCGTGCTCGACAATACTCAGTTCAATTACACACTCTCTGACTGCAGTTCAATTACTCATTGTTCCGTCACGTTGTGACCATCTTATATATACCAGACTACCCCCAATCTAGTAGTCTCCCGATAATTCACGAAGGTTCGCAACAGTATTAATGCGGCTTTTGAGCAACAAGCAGAATATATAGATACACTAGATGTACTTGCGCAGGGTCTCCGAAAGTATTATGTTTCAGGAATAAATGAAACCAAAATTATGAGTAACATATATTTTTATTTCTTGCTTTTGAAGTTTATATATCATGTTGTGTTATAGCCTAAAAGACTGCATAATTCTACTCGTGATTCATGGCATGCGCACGTTTTACTGACGTCATGACAATACAAATTGCAACGTTTGTTTGTTTTAAATTTCGCGCAAAGCTACACGAGGGCTATCTGCGCTAGCCGTCCCTAATTTAGCAGTGTAAGACTATAGGGAAAGCAGCTAGTCATCACCACCCACCGCCAACTCTTGGGCTACTCTTTTACCAACGAATAGTGGGATTGATCGTCACATTATAACGCCCCCACGGCTGAAAGGGCGAGCATGTTTGGTGTGACGGGGATTCGAACCCGCGACCCTCAGATTGCGAGTCGTACGCCCTAACCACCTGGCCATGCCGGTCCAAATTGCAACGTTAAGCTTCATTTTTGTGTCTACTGATTGACTGACTGACAGAAACACACCACTGTTTAGTAGTACGAGTGGTTAACATAGGTGACCCTCCAAACGGCCATTGGCCCTCCTTTACGGAAATAAACTTGAATTATAATCGGGCAATACAACAAAAACAGACAAGATAAATTATACCGGCTGCTCAACACTACAAAGGTATGACTCCAGAAAAACAACTGCGTTGATAGTATAAAAAAGAAAAAGGGTTGGGGGTAACTCATCTCTCCAGTTATCTATCAAAACTCTGATGAGACACTAGTCATAAAAGAACAGCCGAATAAGGGGCAAAGCTTAGGTAGTTAAACTCATAATGTCCTATGTCTTGAGCACTATTCATAATTCGCTGCCGATTGTCGATATGGTAATAACTCCTCTTTAGTACAAACCTATTATTTTATAATTGAATATATCAAAAAAGTAGAGCCATATCACCAGAGAAAATTACAGGTTTGGAAATTTAAAAAATAACACTTTTATTTCACAAGTAAAATACTACCTGACGTAAGCAAAGTGAGATACCAACTTACATTGCGTGCAAGTAAGTCCTAGGGCCAAGCTTTTTCGTAAAGTACACAAAAACGATCAATATACAGTTACCAAGTCGCGAAATTGACCGCCATTCCTTGTTTAAGATAAGAAAGAAACAATCATTGAACGTCATTTCTGATTGGCTTGTACTTACAAAAGCACCCAATTACTAGCCGCATTTCACGTGCTGATATGACGTTCATGCGTAGTTTTGCGTGATGTTGCATATGACGTAGGCACTAGCAGATAATACTTTTATAGCAGACGAACTTTTTCAACAGATGTTCGTGCACCAAGTTATGGAAAAAAAAATCGATAAAAGAAACAGCACACGGCACTAGATGTCTTGAAGATAGCTGTTTAGAATCAGAATTGGGTAAGTATGACGAAGTAAAAGTAATACATTAAAACAAATCTGACCTGATATCTTGATTCACATACATGCAATATGTGTGTGTGTGTGTGTGTACTTTCTCAGCATAAGGCCACATCCAATGAGACTATAAATACTTAAAACCTCAATGCATTATGTATTTGCCATGCCCCCGAAACTTTCAAATTTCCTGCGGCCACCGAGAATGGGAGCGAGGAAGTACATGTGATTGGTTGACGTCTTAAGCATACTTACGATGTTTCTCATTGCCCAGTTTCTGTTGTATTCCCTTGAAATTAAATACAAACATACTTAATTTCATAATAAACGAGGTTATGTTTAATATTCTTGAGTAATTTACGACTAATTGCCCCAATCTTCCTGCAGTCTCGTTTCCATAATTGTGTAAAATTTCGTTTACCAAATAAATTCACCGTTATCTGTAATTATTCTACAATTTAAACTTTCTCCCTACAAAGAAGTTGTCTTTACCATCAATTTTCACGTAGGCCTACTTTGTTGGCGCGCAACCATGGTTTTGTTTTTTAAAGAAGGTACTCATTTTCAATCCACCAATTTCTAAAACATACACACTTAATAAGAGAACAACATAATATTTACATTATAGATTAAAATACTTATTCGTATATAATACAATATGAGATTATCTTTGTGATATTTGTAATTATTTATAAACTTTCTCAATATATTATTTTATTTTATCATATAAAATATAGTTTAGACACACATATATATATATATATAGATACATAGCACATATAACA